CCAAGTTGAACTTCCGGGGCCAAGACTGGGGAAACCGAGTCAGTTCTGAGCCTGCAGGGTTAGAGGCTTGGCATGAACTGAACACCAGACGCCCGGGGTGGGGGTGGGGAGCGGGTCAGGATTCCCTGGGGAAGGGGCCCATTGTTCTTGAGCCGTGATTGTCCCCTGTGACCTTTTTGTGGCAGGTATGTGATGGGCTGTTGGCTTAAAGGTAGAGAGTAGGATCTAATATACCACATGTCAGAAACAAAACGTTCCGAGGACAAAAAGATTTTCCATTCATTCACTGGTTCATGTGCTCATTCATTTATTCATTCCTCATTCAGCAAACATTCATAGTGCTAACTGTGGCCCAGGGTCTGATTGGTCCCGAGAAACCAAAATAAACAGTGGAGGACTCTGCTTGGAGAAGCCAACACTTAGCAAAGGATGTCAGTGGAACGATAAAGTACAAAAATGAATGACGCCCCAGGTCAGCCGGGAGGTCCAAGGGCCTGCAGTGGGGTTCATACCTCCCCAAGCAGGTGCGGTTCACCAGGCACTTGCGTGTCCCACAGGAGCTGCACATAAAGTACCGTTGCTGTAGCTGCTGGCGGGGGCTACAATCAGATTATGTCAACAGGCGCCGTTTCAAGGCCTGGAAAGACATCAGTCGTAACCTTTATCATCATCTACATCTTTCAGCCAATATTTGCCCAGCTTGGAGGCATGAAATATCAAACAGCTTCAAAATGAACACAAGATTCTCTGTGGCTTTGCACCAAAAGACTTCTGGAAAGGTCTTTGGGGGAAAGAATTGAAAAATAAATGACAGAATGATTCGAAAATAATAATTAGGTCTTATCTTACAATTTGGTAGTATTTCTTTGGGGGGGGCAAGTTGGTGTGTCTGTCAGTTTATTTTTTTCATGAGGCATCCCGTTTTGGCCATCATACTCTTGCATTCCCATTAGAAGGAAGCAGCTGATACTCCAGGAACCCAAGCAACTTTCTTAATTTTTGCACAGCTCCTCCCCTGAGGCTTCAGCTTGTGCAGTGCAGGTGCTACCCTTTAATAGGGCAAACAGAGGTCGCGCGAATACTTACTCTAAAAGACATTTTAAATAGTCATACACAAGGAACAAATCACAAGGAAACAGATCCTGAGATGTGACTGCCTAAAAATTAAAATTCTTATAGGTCGGAATAAAATTAAAAGCAAAACTAGGTCAAATAAAAATGAGGAAAATGTCTGCAAAATATGTCACACACTTAGGGTGCAAGTATTTATTATATTAGAGCTCTTGCAGTTAAATAAGAAAACATCTAACACCCTAGCAGAAAAGAAGGCAATTAACAAGCAATTCATAAAAAAAGAAATACAAAGAAGTGTGAGAAAACTATCTGACTTCATTAATCAAAATAAAATGAAATCACGAATGCCTGCCAGACTGGCAAATCTTAAAATGTATCTCAAACCCTAGTATAAAACTAGGGTTCTCTCACACTCCCTGTGGAAGAGTAATTTGGTAAAAATATGTTCTGGGGACGAGTTTGGCCACATAATCTTAACACACTAAAATACATATCTCTATAATAATTTGTCCTAAAGAAATTATAAGATAAATGCTTTTTAAAGAAAATTTTAACACAAAGTAAACTGTGCAAAAATGAAACTATGAGGTTGTATATTTCCGTGCTTTATAGAAAATCTAACAACTAACTCGTGTTGAACGCTTATTTTGTGCCTCTACTCCTTAGCTGTTCCCACGTACTTACCTAATTATCACAAAAAAAAATTATTTGAGGTAGAACTTTATTACGGTGTTTGTTATCAGTTGAGGAAAATGAGGTTTTTACTGCAGTGGCATCCATGTCAGGCTGTGCAGAGCCTTTCAGTTCTTGCTCATGAAGGGCTGGCCATTGGGCTACACCAACTCTTCCCACTAACATAGGTGAGAACCGGAAATGATGTAAATGTTCAACAGTAGTGATGCACATCCTGAATACAGCACATTCGCACTGTGAAACACCACGCAATCGGGAAAAATCATGCAATAGAAAAGTATTTATCAATGTGGGAAATGTACTCATAATTGCTTTGTGAATAAAACAAGCTAGCAAAAAGATCTGCCATTTGATGCAGTTTTGGTTGAACTTGAATCAAGTCAACTAAACATACTTCAATTTGAGGTAAGACCCGGTTTCATTCTATGTGCGACATTTGACATAATCAGAGTCATTCCAGATGAAAAATTAATTTCGAAGCCTGCAGACCCAGGGGATTATACACCTGAAGCTATGTGTATAAAGCTTCATAGCCTTTGCGCTAAGAGCCTTTGGAAAATCTGGGCATGATATTTTGAATGATAAGCTTCCTTGGCCTGCAGCTTATGAAACACAAAGGTGCAATGGAAACTCAAAGACTCACTCTGGCTTTTCTCATGCTGTTATTTTAGCATTCGCTGTTGCTATGATTTAGAATTGTATCCTATATTGTATCCAGTCCCTGTCACTGGGGCATTCACTACCTCCAAACAATAATATGGAAATGGGGGTTTGGTCCAGTCACTGACCTTGAAGAATGATGGAATGCTGTTCATGGAGAACATCTGAACAAAGAACAGCAGAGAGAATTCTGAGAGAGGAAACATACTGTCAAGCTGACTCCCTTCGATGAAGACTCCCTCCTTGGTCAAACCCAGTCAGGCTCCAATGAACCCTCTTCCTGAGTAGGTCCCCACTTCAGTGAGTTGAGCCCAGCTGTAACAGAGAATCATGTGAAGTTGGTTTCTCGAGGAAGCCTCTACCCTTGGGATACAGTCCGGATCACCTTCCTCCCCCTGGACACCCAGCCAAGCTGCTCTTAGTAATGTCCCATCTGTTCCCTAACCCTACCTGTTGGCTATACATCCCCACTGGCCCTTGTGATATTGGAAGACAGTCTCCCTCCCCTATTGCAATAGTCTTGAATGAAACCTGCCTTGGCGTGTTTAACATTAAAATTGTCAAAAAGCAAAGCAAAGCAAAGAAAAGAAAAAGCAAAGCAAAGTAGTGCAGACAGTGGGAAGCAATGGAAGAAGTATTGGGAACATGATATCAAGATCAGGGTTTATGCTAATTACAGTGGAGGGAGAATCACCCCCCAGCACTTACTCCCATAGGAAAATTACTCTTGACTTATGAAGTTTTGAACTATGGGAGGAATTCAGAGATGCATCCCTGGCTTAGCACACAATTGTCTCATAAATATAAGAAACAATCTGGAAGGGCGTGTGCCAGAATTTTGAGTGGTGGGATTCTTTTTTATTTGCGGTACGCAGGCCTCTCACTGTTGTGGCCTCTCCCGCTGCGGAGCACAGGCTCCGGACGCGCAGGCTCAGTGGCCATGGCCCACGGGCCCAGCCGCTCCGCGGCACATGGGATCCTCCCAGACTGGGGCACAAACCCACGTCCCCTGCATTGGCAGGCAGACCCCCAACCACTGCACCACCAGGGAAGCCCAAGTGGTGGGATTCTTGATGAATATTTTTCTCTGTGTTGTCCAAGTTTCCTGTTTTGAAAATATAGTCTATGCTTATTATTCACAGATTTTCTGTATGCAGGTGTCACTCTTTGCTACAATTCATTCATAATCCCCACATCAGCAGTCGTGGTGCTTTCGTGAGCACTCATGGATGAAACATTTGAGTTGCCCAAATGCACTTGTTCCCAGCAGAATCTAACAAGGCAATGCTCTGCCTGGTTGTTTCAACAAGTGGGTCTATTTAGTGCCACATTTTTGTGTTATTCTTGGTTATTTGACTATTTAAAATGGCCCCCAAATATAGTGCTAATATAATGCTGAAGTGCCTTCTAGGGGTCCTACATGCAAGAAGGCTGAGATGTGCCTTAGGGAGAAATCACGTTTGTCTGATAAGCTTCATTCATGAGTCAGAGAGCTGTTGGCCAGGAGTCCGAAGTTCATGAGTCAGTGCATATTAAATAAAATGTCTTTAACAAGAAACACATAAAAAAGATTATGTATTGATTCATTGACAAAAATGTGACCTGAGGGCTTCCCTGGTGGCACGGTGGTTGAGAGTCCGCCTGCCGATGCAGGGGACACGGGTTCGTGCCCCGGTCCGGGAAGATCCCGCATGCCGCGGAGCAGCTGGGCCCGTGAGCCATGGCCTCCGAGCCTGCACGTCCGGAGCCCGTGCTCCGCAGCGGGAGAGGCCACAACAGTGAGAGGCCCGCGTACCGCCAAAAAAAAAAAAAAATGTGACCAGAAACGCACTGGAATGTAGCCTTGCATTTCCCCAGGGGAAGGGCCAGTGTTTGCTAATTTGTGGAGACTTCATAGAACGTTACTACCACAAGGCACCAGGATCACCTGTACATTGTTATGTGATGAGGAAAGAAAGCACGAGTTTTGAAAAGCAGGTTGTATGCAGGGGTGCGGTTCCATCTGGTGATAGAGTCAAGATAACAGAAGCAGACTCACTGATGGGGGTTATGCAGCCCGGGCCCTGGTCTGAGTGATGTACTCAGCCCACGCGACTGCCTTCATAGTTTCTGGAGAGATCAGCACACTGTCATATGCTCTTCTCAGATAAAGAGAGAGGCTCAGAGAGTGTCTGTCCCACAGCTAGTAGACAGCAAGGTAGGACTTGGACCGAGGCTAGTTATTAAAGCTGGGATGGACCATAGACATTCATGTGTGCCCTGGTCCATTTCACGGATGCAGGTAGAGAAAAATGAGACATGGCATTGTCTTCAGCTGAGTAGTTGGTGAATAGCACAATAAGCACTTTGCTGCCGTCTCCAAATCCAGGGTCATTTCCACCCCATCCAGACAAGGAAGGGAAGTGCTGCTGGCTTGGGGTCTGGTGGACTCCAGGGTGTTTGGGTCTCCACCCAGGCAGCCCCAGCTGTCAGCTTGCTTGGAACTGCCCTGCTCCAAGTGAGACCTCATCATGTTTGCAGACTGGTTTCTTTTCTCTTTGTGCAGGTTTTGCCTCTGGGGAAGCCTCGTCACCATGAATGCACATGAGTTCCGCAGGAGAGGGAAGGAGATGGTGGATTACGTGGCTGACTACTTGGAGGGCATCGAGGGGCGCCAGGTGTACCCCGATGTGGAACCTGGCTACCTGCGCCCCCTGCTCCCCACTGCTGCCCCCCAGGAGCCAGAAACATTTGAGGACATCATTAAGGATGTCGAGAAGATCATCATGCCAGGGGTAAGCCTGTGTCCAAGATCGGAAAACAGGAGAGCTAGAGCCAATTTAATATTGATACTTACTGGGCGCCAGGCAACTCATATGAATTATTTCACCCAATCCTCACCACCATTTCCTTGGGTAGAAACTTTTTAATTTCTATTTTATAACTGAGGCAACTGAAGCCCAGAGAGGTTCGGTGATCAGCCTAAGGTCACACAGCTAGTAAGTGATGGAGCCAGGATTACAACCCAGATCATGTGGGCTCCAAAGGCAGCGACTGTGCTTTCCCCCCAGCCCCTCAGTATGTCACCGAACCAACTTGGGTCCGCTCACCCACATGCAGTAAAGCCGATCTACTGACACCAGGTTGTGGTGAAGGAAAGTGCAGTGTTTATTGCAGGTGCCAAGCAAAGAGTCCTGGACAGCTAATGCTCAAAAACCCCGAGCTCCCTGATGGGTTTCAGCAGAGCATTTTTTTTTTTCTTTTTCTTTTTTTTTGCGGTACGTGGGCCTCTCACTGTTGTGGCCTCTCCCGTCACGGAGCGCAAGCTCAGCGGCCATGGCTGATCACGGGCCCAGCCGCTCCGCGGCATATGGGATCTTCCCGGACCGGGGCACGAACCCGTGTCCCCTGCATCGGCAGGCGGACTCTCAGCCACTGCGCCAGCAGAGCATTTTTTTTTTTCTTTTTCTTTTTTTTTGCGGTACGTGGGCCTCTCACTGTTGTGGCCTCTCCCGTCACGGAGCGCAAGCTCAGCGGCCATGGCTGATCACGGGCCCAGCCGCTCCGCGGCATATGGGATCTTCCCGGACCGGGGCACGAACCCGTGTCCCCTGCATCGGCAGGCGGACTCTCAGCCACTGCGCCAGCAGAGCATTTTTAAGGCCAGGTGAGGGAGGGGAGTCCCCAGTTAAGTCATCAGCTAGTGCACAGTTCTCTAATTAGTTGATGGTGAGGTAATGGGGCAGGGTTACAGGGGTTAACAGTATCAATTCTCAGGCGCCAGTAGGTCTGGGGGCTATGTGGTCATGGTCATCAGGTAGTTAATTTTTTCCATTTGGTGAGGGTTTTAGCATTGGTAAAATAACTCAGGAAATATGTGCATCAGATACTGTTATCTGGGTACTTCAGAGAGGAGCCACAGCAGAGGACATGGGGGAGGGGTCTGTCCCCGGAAGGCCCCATGGGGTCCTGCTCTCCTACAAGGTTAGACCCCTACCCTGAGACCCTGGTAGGTGAGAGAGTCGTCACATGACTGTTGAGGAAATGAACCCCTGGAGGCTGGCTTCAAGTAAGTTAATTGCTCCAAATAAAGCACACTCTTACTATTTTGTGTTCAGCAGAGGGGAGATCACACGTGTGGAAGAAACGTTTCCTTTATTTTACCTGAGAATATGGGCTGCGTGGTGCTGAGTCCTCTATGAGGCCAGTGTGCCTTGGTGGGGTGTGCCAGGGGCCGCAGACAGGAGTGGGGAGGACCCAGGACAGTTGTCCGCACAAGAGTCACTTGGAGGGGAGCAGACAGCTCCAGTTCAAAGGAAACTCCACTGCGGCTTCATGCTTGCGCGGTGAGATGTTCCCTGCCCAGGACTTGCTGCTGTGGCAGGAGGGGGTCCCAGACCCTCAGCCTTACCCTCTCATCTGCAGTCAGGACCCCGGGGCCTGGGATCTCAGGACCCGGGGCTACGGGGTACTTGGCCTCTGGCCTCAGCTCCCTGATAGGTCCCTCAAGCCCAGAGCGCCTCCCCTCTCTCATCCTCCCTGGGGTTACCGTGACATTTGTGCTTTGAGCGGAGCACAGGATTCCGGTTCTCGCCTGCCGGGAGGTTGTCTGTGCAAACACGAGAAGCCGTGCAGCATCAAATCCCTCCCAGCAGTGTGGTTAAATGTCAGGCCCCGGGCTGTCCTGGCTGTTCTGCAGCTGCAAACACCACCGCTAGCGTCTCGGACAGCGCATCCCCTTCTCACGGGGCTGAGGCTGGGCGTCCGAGGTCAAGGTTCCTGCAGATTCCCCTCCTGGGAGGTTCTCACCCTGGCCTCTCCTCCCTGCGGGGGTGAGGTTAGGGGGGCCCCACCCTCACCATCTCATCCTACCTGTCACCTCCCAAAGGCCCCAGCCCCGGGCACATCGCACAGGGTTAGGGCTTCAACACAGGAATCTGGGGACACACACTACAGACCGTGACGGGGGGCGCAGGGAGACCGTGGAACCCGGAAGCTTTGCTCCATTAGCAAGGAAGGGATTGTACGGGAGAGTGAGTGGGCAGCAGTAAGGCGGCTAAAGAAACCTCAAAAATCAGACCTCTTTTTTTTTTTTTTTTTGATATAGACTATTTTTTGGAGTACTTTCAGGAAAAACAATCTCAGTAACAGGAAGAGATGGGGCCTCAGGGGCAGACCCCTCACTGGCACGTGCTCCGGGCCAGGCTTCAAAGCAGGGCTGTTCTGAGAGACGTGGTTGGCCATGGCAAACCCAGCGCTCTGGGTCCCCTGCCGCCGGGGCCGGCCTCCCGGGCCCCGAGTGACCGCCATGTCCCGCACAGGTGACCCACTGGCACAGCCCGTTCTTCTTTGCCTACTTCCCCACGGCCAGCTCGTACCCGGCCCTGCTCGCGGACATGCTGTGTGGGGCTATCGGCTGCATCGGCTTCTCCTGGGTGAGTGTCAGCAGGGGCGCCCTGGGGGTCCTGCACGGGCACGTGCAACCGGCACTCAGCCGGCGAGCGGGTGGCGGTGCCCCCACAGGAGGGAGGTGGACTCAGCCCCGGAGCGGGGGCGCCTCATGAGGGCGTTCGGGGAAACGGAGGGGGAGTCACGTCCACGTGCAAAGGCCGGCTGTGCACAGCGGTGTGTTCAGAGGTACTTGACTTGCATTCAAACCGCAGCCACGGCCCTGGAGCTTCTGCAGCCCCAGCGTGTCTCCCAAGCAGAACGCGGATCTCTGCACAATCTGCAGTTTGAGAAACACTTCCGCCCTCGTCCCATGCCCTCTGCTCTCGGCCACGCCTGCTGTCCCGAGAGAGACCCCAGCCCAGCATAACGGGAAAGAGGCCTGCCTTCCC